CCAGCCGTCAGCAAAGCATAACCGAGTTCTTCGCCCGCAACCCACCACAGCCAGCCCAAGCCAGTGATAGTGATAGTGAAGTTGATTTTGAGGGATTTGTCAGGGAAGCCATAACAACTGTAAGTGACAGTGATATTGATTCACCTAGTAATGGTGATTCACCTAGTAATGGTGATTCACCTGAGGGGCAGTAATCTGCCCTCTGCCTCGGAACCAGCCTCCATCCCCGTATGCCGACCCATCTCTTCTACTACCGTGAGTGTTCCTCAAAAATTTTCGTTTTTTAACCTATTCTTTATTTTTCCTATGTTAACCTTTATCTTTCATAACCTAACCTCTTCTATATTACTTGTTTTTCATGCCACCATAAAGTTAAGATAGAATTTTTACTACAACATAGTTATTTGTCGTCAAAAAGTGGAGTTTGGGGGTCGGGCTGGGTTCTATTGGAATTAATCCCATATGTTCTGTTATTCACTTAACGCGGTTTTCACTTAACGCGGGACCCTCTGGGTTCAATTGACCGCGTTAAGTGGGGTACAACTGTGTATGTATATATATATATATATATATATATATATATATATATATATATATATATATATATATATATATATATATATATATATATATATATATATATATATATATATATATATATATATATATATAAAAGGCCAATTTAGGGGAATTTTAGGAGTGTTTCTGACTTTATGCATTTTTGGCTTTACTTTGTATGTACTTTTCTGTGAGCTGGAGCCAAGTACCCAATATCCCATTGAAATAATGGAGTCAGTTAATGAACGACTCTGTGGAACAAATTGTGTTCGTTAACCGAGGGACCACTGTATAATAATGGTTGCCCCTCGTGTAACGAGGATGGCCGGCCCTAGGGCCACCTAGGCGTGAATTTGTTTATGGTGTAGAAGCTGTCGCCAAGACAACAACCACACCCTAAGTTAACAAGCTGCATGACTCAGTGTCAAGGAATAGTCCGAGAAGACTGGACAACTCGCCAACTGCATTGGCTAACCATTACCCCGGAATATGATCCGCAAATCGATAAACATTCAGGTCCCCATTTACTGCTGGGTAGACAGTGGCAAATGGCATAAAGGAACTTGCCCATAGTTTCACCCTGCCCGGGAATCGACCCGGATTCGCTCGCTTGCGAAGAGAGGATGCTGACCATTACACCACAGGCTATAAATTATCTACACAAGTGACACTCCGTCTCCTACTACAATAGGAAACGAAGGTATTATGTATACAGATGACATCACTCAAATAACAACACACTGAGGAAAATCACGAGCGTTACAGGTCGACAACACTACATGGGTAATAATTAAGAAAAACAATGGAAAATCCAAACCAGTCTCCCAAAATTCAGTGATACAGTAGAACGTCGATATAACACGAGATACATTCCAAGAGAGGTCGCTTTAAACTGAATTCACACTAAATCGAAGTGTTGTTTCAATGGAATAATTTAGTTTGGTACTTGAGATTAACACAAAATACTAAAGACTGAGTCTACCAAGATGCACCTCAGCCCATCTCCTAGATTAAACAAAACATTGTTTTTTGTAGTATTATATTAAAACAAACACTCATAAATCAACACAGCTAAAATTACAGGACGCAAAATGGTCTGTTTACCAGCAATCAGCTGATGTGAGAGGGTGGTCGTGCTGGAGCTGAAGTGCAGGGTTGCCAGGTCTGTCCTTTTAGGGAGAGTCTGTCCTTTTTGAGGGCCACTTGTCCTTTATTTTTTAAAAATAAAAAGGACAACCATAAACTGTCCTTATTTGAATTTTTAGTCTGTGCAGTACAGGCAAACCCCGTTATTCATAGCCTCGGTATTCATAACCCCATTTATCCACAATCAATTTATTGTTACCCATTTCCACTATTCGTAATGGTTGTCCCGTTTATTCGCAAATTCTTACGTACGAGCAAAAATTTTAAACAGCGCGCCTCAACTGTATTGTAGGAAAGCGTGTGTACGTGTGTATGTATTCCTCCGCTATATGCTCCCGCTCACCTCAGTCTCACACTGCTGGCGTGTGTTTTGTGTGATCTCGTAATGCCTAAGCTTGTAAAAAGACATGAACACGGAGAAGGAACATCAGTGATTGGGCGCATGCACGGCTTGGCTCCCTCTACGGTGCATTCTATAGTTAAAAGCACCGACAAGATCAAGGAAATGGCTGGGTTTGCAACACCACTGACGGCTACAAAGGTGATGAGGTTCCGTGATGCTGAGACGGAGAGTATGGAGCGGATGTTGAGCACGTGGATTGACGACCAGACCCAACGCCTTAAAACACCTTTATCGCAACGCATGATTCAACAGAAGGCAGTGGAGAACAACAGCTTTCAGTGCAAATTGACAGCGATAATGAGTGAGGTGGCCGATGACCTGGGAGTGATGATGAGAGTGAGGTGGCTGACGACCCCAGCCTCCTCTCACCCCAGTAAACTTTCACCCTCTCCCATAATGCCAACTTCAGCAAGCAAGCAACACAGCACATCAGAGGTAAATTAACAGTCTACGTTTAAAACTTACCTCATATATCTATGCACATAAACATTCAAACATGTAAAGTATCCCTGTATACTGTACTTGTAAACATATACACCTAATAAACTCAGTGTTTGTTATTGATGTTTATTTGATATTATGCTCTTGTTTCTTTATTTATTTTATGTTCTATATGTATTGAGTAAAACAAGCGTTAAAATCTGACGGCCGTGATCACCTCGGTGCCCGTATCCCACCTATTTACATTACAGGTATTTCTTATGGGAGAAATTGCTCTGCTATTCGCAATTTCAATATTTGCAACGAGTTTCATGTCCGTAACCTTTGCGATAAGTGAGGCTGTACAGCTGTACTACAAAAAGATACGTTATTATTCTCCGAGAGTCTACCCAGATGTACCTCAGCCCATCTCCTAGCACAAACAAACACTCATAAATCAAAATACAGTGATCCCTCGGTTAACGAAATTTCGGTTAACGAATTACCTTCCATAAGAATCTTCAATTTGGTTAACGAACTCATGTCAACATGTTTTTGCTTGGTCACCAGCTGGAATATTAGTTTGCCAATACAGTAATCGGTTCTAGGGTTTAAATTCGTTCCCATTTGAGTAAATATCAAGAAGGTTGTACTATTCAATTATTTTCCAAGTTTTATATTAAATTTTTTTGAAATTTTAACACTTATTTAACATAAATGCAGTTCAGGAAACTAGTTTTTGGTGCGCCAATCAGCCACTTGACTCACCCACCAAGACGGCAGTTTGTATCTCTGGTCAGTGGAGGTAACATCTTGCTTGTGGCTCTCTTGAACATGTACTATTTTTACATTTTTACAGTACAATTATTGGTCATTCTGAAATATATTTAACATACTGACAATATATAGTGCAGTGCAGTGTTCATTTAAAGAAAATAATCTTGAATTGCACCTAGTGAACTTAAAATTTTATGGGTGAAATGACGGCATGAAGCATGGGGTGATTTCTCTTCCACCCCCACTTCCTTCTCTTCTCCCTTCTCCTCCACCCCCACTTCTAATTCCCATCATCATCATCATCAACTAGGAGCCTTCTATATACATGCCTCAAAGTAAGTGTACTTTACTGCATTTATTTTTACTTTTTATATAATTTTCGGTGAGCTGAAACCAATTACCCAAAATCCCATTGAAACAAGGGTTTCGGTTAACGAACGACCTTCTGGAACAAATTGTGTTCGTTAACCAAGGGACCACTGTAGCTAAAATTACGGGATGCGAAATGATCTGTTTACTAGCGATCAGCTGATGTGAGAGGGTGGTCGCGCTGGTGCCACTCACCACCTGCCTGACTCACCCAGCACTCACTTTCCTCTCAACTTATTTTTTAAATTACTTCATACTATCAAAAATAGATTTTCACTCAACTGTAGCTAGGCAATTCATCCTCTGAAAATGTTAAGCTCAACTCGACCAGCTCATCATCCACTTCACTGTCTAGTGCTGTGGACGTATCTGACACCCGAGAAACACCATTTCCACGCTGCAGTGCTTCCAGCACCTTGTTTTTCTACTCCAGTGTAATTGCTTGCCTTAATTTCTTGGCCTTTGGGGTAGTTAATGATGTAGTAGCTGGCCTCTAGGACATAGTGGCGATGGTTGATGCATGTGGTAGAAGGAAATAGTCACACAATATGTCCGTTCACTTGAGCGTCAATGTGAGAACTGAGGATGTGAGAGGGTGGCGGGCAGCCATATAGTGTGCCCAGAGACACGTCTAGTGGGTAACATTAGGCGCGAAATTTAAAATAGGACGCGCCAGATTGACTCACACAAAATAGGAAAGATTTGCTTTAAATTAAAAAATTGTCCTTAATTGTGGGTATCGCTTTAAATCAATAATCTTAAATTGAACCGCTTTAAATCGACATTCTCCTGTACCCTTATGCAGAAGGAAAGTCCATCCATTAGTAACCAATAATGCCCAGATAGAATACAAAAATAGAGGCACCCTCCTGGGCCTGCATATATCCACGACAGGTTACTCCCATCATGTCCACACCAGGAAGGAAAAGGCAAGAAGAGAGCTGAAAAACTAGACCGCTTTAAAACACTTCCTGAGAATATAAAACTCCGCCTGGTAACATCACTTTTCATACCGATATTAACTTACCCAGCAGTACCTCTTCATACTATGAGCACCACTCAATAATTAAAATTACAGGTGGTCCAAAATGAAGCCCTGAGATTAATCACAGGTGAAAGACACCCCTTCACCAGAACCACTGCCGAGATACATAGAGACCTGAGAATAAAACCCATCAACCAGCAGCTACACACCCTGGCCAACAAAGTCTGGCAAAAGATAGAACGATCAGAGTAAGAACTCCTTCAAAGACTTCCACCAGACAACAACAACAACAACAACCATATGTACACGGTTCCCAAAGAGTTACCAAATCTCAAAAGGTCCATTACCACCCTTGATCTATACGGCCAGGCAATAGACAACCTCCCTAGACCAGCATCCACCAGTAGGGTTAGCGGAATATGAGATGAGGCCCTCAAAACACCTATAAATGAGATGGAGTAGGCTGTCTAGTGCCTGTGCCGACAAACAATAATTAACCCATGACACAACCCTAACACACTATTAACTCAGCTAACCCACAGCAAGATAGTCAGTCCACCCTCTCCTACCTCCTCCTAAATTTCTTAAATTTCCAAACTATAACTTCCTCCCCCCACCTGTAATCTTCTCTCACCCCTCCTTTCTCAAAAAAAAATGGATTGAAGGTTGTTTTAGACTGGAATTTTCTCTTATAAAATATCACACTTGACTTAGCAGAATATAACTTACATTGATGGAACCCTTGCAAGATAGCGATTAATTTGAGTATAAGAGTATAAACATCTCACGGTTTGCACAAAAGATAAAAATTTTAGTTCTATAGCATAGAACATTTGAGAACAAAATGAGTACAGTAATATGCTGCTCAAAATTATGACTTTTTCACAGGGAAAAGTCTGTATAACTTACCCCAGATGTCAGGATATTATGATATTGAATGTTCTGGGGTATTTCAAATAAATTCTTTGTTTAGTTCTGCACATAGAGATTTGGCGATAGAAACTGTTGTAATTTGAGCTTATTAATACCAGTACCCTTCATATACAGTAAAATACTTATTTTTACCTTAATATTTGCCTTGTCATTTAAGGATATCATATTGGAAACATCTCATAGATTTTATTCAGGATCATTATGGTATCAAATTCATCTCTTTAACACAAATAGAAGTTTACAATGAATGCTGTGAGGAAGGGAGGGGAGGGGGAAGGGTCCATTGGGATGTGATCACACCCCCCCCCCCACCCCTCCCGTAAAAGGGTCGCCTCACTGATTGTTTGTCTACTGTACTGCCCCATTCATGATACAACATTATTTATTTGTTTTTGATTAATTAGTATAGAGTAGATACATTACTGTAATAATCTGTGCTTATTAATACATGTATCCTTCACATACAATACAGTATAGTACTATGTATATACCTCATAGGTAAAAAATAATGTAATTCAAGACATCTTCAGGTCATAAGACCCACAAATCCCGCACCCAACAATAGGTGACCTGACATTGGCAAAAGTCTTCTCATCCGTGAAGACTACTCGCGACCAAAACTCCAGGGCCTCCCCCACATATTGCTGGGCAAACTGGAGGCGACCAGTGCGGTGTTGTTCAGTTAGCCGTTCCTTTATGGCAGGGACTCTGTGTTGTATGCCAGCCTCATGCAAACGTGGCCTGACAGTCTGTGCACAGACGTCTAAGTGTAATGCCTCTGTGATGGCGACAGCGTTGGAGAACGGGTTGTTTTGTATTGCTGTTATTAAGGCGGCATCCTCATCCCTAGTAGTCAGTCAGGGGCGTGGTCTTCTTTCTGAAAATAGACACAATATTGTTTTTGGATCTCCTGTGTCATAACCTGGTATGCCATTAACACTATGGCATACACTCATAACCTTTAACAACAAATCATAACATTTACATTATAATATTTACATTATCATATCATTTATATAAAAATAAATATCTTAGATATTGTTTATATCCTGGTTCAATCTGAAATTTTCATACATACCCAAATCAGTTAAAATACCCATTTCGGCATATCTTCTGATCCACCTCTTCACAGTTGATGTCGAAACAGCAAGTTGGTCTGCGATGGCACGCACCGTAAGGCCTTCTTCTCGGAGGGCGATTATTTGGCAGCAAGTAGTTAAGTGCTGTTGCGTCGTGTTCATGGTGACAGAAGTAATGCCTCCTGTTTATCCCGTATTCACAACAACACTTCGGTCAAACTCTTATTGGCTGATTAGACCATGCCAAGTGATATGCGATTCGTGGGTGTAAAACCTAATGCTGACGGCATAATTAAGATGGGTAACTATTGAAAATGTTGTTACCTAACGATGAGTACACAGTCTATTGCAGAACAATTGTCAATTTTTAGTTGGACAAAGGGGGAACCAGATATTAAATTCCATACATCACCTGCCACTTGGATACTTTATTTTCCCAATAGCTAGCTAGCTAGCTAGCTAGCGCGCGCACGCACACACACACGAATTAAGGCAACAAGCATCCAGTGAGGGTCTTGTGTGACTGCATGGAGGCGAATTAATAGATCATCTGTTGAGGAGCTTATCGCTTGACAACACTGGTTCATGTTACCACTCCTTTCCACCCCATCTCTCTAATCACCCACACCTTTCTGCTTTCTCACTCCATATTTTAAAATGTTATGTAATGTAGTGATGAAGGGATACAACTTTGCTCACTTATACTTATCACAATCTCCCTAAAAATACTTTAGCTTTAGTCTTTATCCAAGACACCACCTTGTCATAAGACCACTAATCCCTCACCCTACTTCTACCTGACATTGCATCAGGTCAGGTCAAGTCAGGGCTCTCCCAAAAATACTTTAGCCTTTGTCTTTCTTCAAGATATCTTCAGGTCATGGGACCCACTAATCCCCACCCAAGAAAGGATGACCTGATATTTCATCCCCGTTAAATTCAGTTGACTCTGAAGATGTCTTGAATAAAGACGAAAGCATAGGTGCTCAAGTGTATTTAGCTGACCAAGAGGTAGCAGTGATTAATACACATGGTGACGGCAGGACACAGACTGAGTGGATGTAAAGCTCGATTTTGTGCAAATTTTTATTTAAAGAACAGGGGTGGCTCGAATTAGTTCATTACATTGATAAAATATTGTATTTTAAATTTTTGTACAGTACTCAATTATTCAACTTATTGGTGCTTTTTATTTTGGTGGATTGTTATGATATTCCTGTCATCAATCAAGGATCATATGTACATTAATTCTAGCCCCATGACCCCTTCTACCCTTCCAAATTGACAGCCTTTTTCACCCCTTTCTAAATTTTCAAGGTAGTATTTCTCCATTACTTCTTTCTACTTTGCCTTGAAATTTAGAGATCTAGTACTTGTATCGTCATTGAATGTTACAAGGCAATATGTTTGTCTTTGTCTTTGTCTTTGGTTTTCAGGATATAAATTTTCCATGTTTTGGTAGAAATTTTTGTCAAAATATTGAGATAAAATATTCAACCCAAAATAAATCTTACAAGATAGAAAAAGATGGAAGCTGCAGTTATGTTGAGGAAGGGTTCTTCCAGTGCTGAGTTTTTGTTTAATTGAAATTGGTCAAAAACTGGCAGAGAAATTCCAATTTGAGTGTTGGAAAAATTCATTTTGAGATACAGGCTGATAAAGTTTCACAACCTTTCTCCCCTGTGTAAGTGCTCATTCTGAACTGATTTTACATGTAATATCTTGTTTTTGTGTGTGTGTAATTTTACATCACCAACAGAACTCTAATTATATTCTTTACGTGGGTAGAGGGGAAGGCTGGGGCTGCACTGCCTGAGGTGTCCCCTGGGACGGCTGTTACTGTCGCCAGTCTCAGCGATGTTTTCTTCTTTTTCTGTTTTACTTCTCTTGCATTTAGGAATGCTCTTGGCACATGCTTCCCTTTGTTGTCTTTTATGTTTTGAATCACATGCTATCCTGATATTTAAGGAGAGAAGCCTGGTACAGCAGTATAAGTGAATTAAGATAGGCAGCACAGCAGAACACAGACCTCTTCTCCTTGACAAGGTCTGGACCCTACTGAATAACACTGTGTGTCTGCTTCCCTACACTCGCCAGAGAGGAAGAGACTTGCCTGAAATAAATTTCTTAAGTACAGTATAGTCTGCATTTACGCGGATTTGGTTTACATGTTTGGTCATTTACGCAGCACCTTGCCACAATTAAAATTTTAAGTTACGCGGTTCATTCCATTATTTACGCGGGAAGCGGCGCCTGGAGGGTGCGCATTAGGTCGCTCTTACATTATCGCTGACATCATATGATGTATCGGACTGTGATTGGGCCACGCATCCTTACCTCTCTCCGCCGCTAGCTGTGATTGGTCTAATGTAGCATGACGTGCCCTGCCACCAGAGGGAAGAAGTTGCTGACCTAGCCGGGCCAGTCTCATTGTTCTCAGTCTCCGCGTATACTGTTCTCTCTTGTGCCCGCTATTCCCCTCACAATGGCTTCCGCTGGACCCCCACCACCCCCGAGAAACTTTGAACTACCTGGACCAAGCCATGGTTATGTGAAGGAAGTCATCGAATTGGCAGAGAAAATCAAGCTCATCCTTGACAAGGACACAGTCAAGCATCGGTATGAAGTGTCTAATAACCTTCTGTCAAAATTTATGGAGCCGTATGTCCAGATGTATGACGACATCAATGCTAGTCGTCAATGTAGTGTTACGGACTTCTTCGCCCGCAACCCACCACAACCACACCCAGCCCAAGTCAGTGATAGTGACACTGAGGATATGGACTTTGAGGGGTTTGTCAGGGAGGCCCTGCAAACCTCTGTGAATAGTGATTCACCAGAGGGCCACTAATCTGCCCTCTGCCTTGGAACCAGCCGCCTTCCCCGTGTGCCGACCAATCTCTTCTACTAACGTAAGTGTTAAACACCTTTATATTTGTACAGTAGTGTAGTTTTTATTTAGATATTATGTGTGTGTCAATACCATCATAAAATTATGATGTTATTTTTACTACAAGGTACGTATTGTATTGGAAAAAGTGGAGTTTGGGAGTCAGCCCAGTCTCTATTTCAATTAATCCCATATGTTCTGTTATTTCGTTTACGCGTTTCTCGTTTTACCAGGACCTCCACGGGTTCAATTGACCAGGTAAATCAAGACTATACTGCATTTTTTGTGCTATTTATTCCATATTTTTTGGTAAAAAATATTTTACCACGATCATTCTTATGTCTACCCAAAATGGGGATGAGGGAAGGTGGGGGGGCATACATAGCTGCACTAAATATTAATAATATTACAGGTTGTACCTCTCTAGTCCGGCTACCTCGGGACCTGACTGGTGCCGGACCATGGAAATTTCCAGACCATGGAAATTCACCCTTTTCCTGGATAGATAGTGACTTGTGCTTACGCTTGGAAGCACTAGCACCACTGTTAACGGCGGAAACTCAAATTTCAATGGGTTTGAGCGGCCAGCCAACGTTCAGACGTGCACAAATCTTGTAAACGGTGTCATTTTTCATATGTACAAAAGATTCATTATTGTTTATTACTGAATGTCTTTTTGATTTAATTAATTTTTGTGTGCAAAATGAACAATACAATTCATTAATAATATGTAGAATATTAAAACACATGAGGAAATGAGACGTCATTGTTTTTGTTGATTACAAAACCAGTGACTGACTGGATCTACATATAAAACTGAAGAAAATAAGACCCTGGTTGTACCTGTTGTAAAATTAATGTAAACAAATTAATATGGTTGTTTTAAGTAATGTTATTTAATGTTAATAAATGGAACAATATAAGTAGCTAACCATTAATGGTTAAGAAAAAATTGAGCTTACGTATGTGCGCACATGTGAAAACATATCGTCATTACTATACCTAAGAATATGAAAGCAACACTTATTTACTGTTCATATATATTTTAATTAATGTTTCTGAATTTAAAACAAAAATTCTACCCACCAGTGGTGGTAAAGTTGAAAACATAAGGACAGCCAATGTTGTTGTGTGTGTTTTTACTCAGATGACATATGCTCAACTCTAGCTGAAGCTGTAAAACATAAGAACTTTTCTGTGTTGTTTTTAGTTTTTATTTAACTTTATCTGTGTTATTTTTGTTGGTTTATTAGGATGTTACTTTATTACAGGTAGTAATTCACCAAAAAGGTAGGGTAAATAAGGCAAAATTTTGCCAAATATCAAAAGTACCAGACTCAAATTAATTTTCTCTATGGGCAAACTAAAATCATTCCGGACCACGGGAGTTTCCGGACCACAGAATGCCGGACTAGAGAGGTACAATCTGTACTATAAAACTCCATTCACATACAGCCAAAGGCAAGTCCTTTGCTCGGGAGTTTTTTCACATTTTATGATTTTATTTAGTTTTTAATTTTTCATCGATCTAAGTTTTATAAATACCATGAAGAAAACACCAACATGATCAACAACATGAGTGACCATCTCGGTCATATGCAGACAGCAAATAAAGCATCAAATTTCCCTGTCTTAATGTCGAGAAGAGCATCCAAGTATCAATAAACAAAAACAAATTAACATTAACCCTGCTTACTCATTGAAAATAAAGCTCATTACAGGTACAGGTACACCACCAATTTTCCGGGAACTGATGGTCCGGCACCTCCTTAAGTCCGGACAAAATTATGAGGGGGCACTTAACCTCCCTCCCTCCCATCCAGGGTGAAGCTAGTTTTAGGCTTAAAGTTTTTATCTTATAAAATGTAGCTGACTAGACTTAGCAGAATATAACCTGCATTGCTGAAATCCTTGAAAAATAATGATTAATTTGAGTATAAACATCACTTCTTTTTTTTTTCTTTTTTTTTTTTACGGGGATTAGCCCACCTGGGCACAGGTCACTGACCCACAGGGGCCTGGGGGCGAAAATGTAATTAATAATAATAATAATAATAATAATAATAATAATAATAATAATAATAATATTAATAATAATAATAATAATAATACCAGGTAATTCATAGTAAATAAAATTTATAAAAAAATGAAAAAAAAAAAAAAAATTTATAATGATAAAAATAATAATAATAATAAACCATCATAAAGAACCTAACGTGCTCACATTACGCGGTACGTGAACCCCATTACGCGG